TCCTAGCTGTTCACGCTTCCTGGCTTGAGGCGGCGATACCAGTCGAAGGCGGCTCCGCGAAGAGTGCCAACGAAGGACCGTACCATCAGAGGCTCATTACCAGAGATAACCCCCAGGTGTGATTTGAAGTAAATTAAATGTTGAGTGGGGGAACCCATCCCATTAAACGGTGTGAAGTTAATTAAGTTGAACTTCGTCGGATATGGGATTGATTCCCACTCTCTTGGGTATGGACAAGGAATGCCTGTTTTCTTCATCTCTTGAGCAGAAATCAACGTATTGATTTTGCTCTCGAGATTTTTAATCTTTAAGTTTTCACCTGTGTTTTCGCTAGCATTCTCGTTACCACCCCCTGCGTTGACGGGAGGATTATTGGCATTATGTGTCTCATTCGCATTTGTGTCCTCATCTTCCAGATTAACCGGGTTACGACGACTTGGCTCGCCTTGCTGGTTCGTCAATGCTTGGATTTGTTGGTCATGCATTTCTCTCATGTTTTGCATGGCCATCTGTATTTCGAACCTGAAGGTTTCCTGTTGCTTAGCTAAGGCGTCTTCAAGCATTTTGGCCACTTGCTCCGCACTTATCATAAGTGCCTCGCGGGGTTGTCCCTCGCTGGATACCGTATTATCAGATGCAACCGCGGAGCCGGCATCAGATTCTTCATCTTCTGAAGGGAGTCTTGTCCGAACCCTACCATAGGTTGCTCGCTTGATGGTTCCGGACTGCAGACGGGTTCTAGGCCGGGATGCTTTCAGAATCGACTCGAGATTATCCCGTGCCGATGTTCCCTTGCTGGTCATATTGGTGGTGACCCTTGGAAATTCTCCATCTTCAATCACCGTTCTTCTTCATCGGAAACGCCTAGGCCTTGGTTTTGGCATTTCGGTACTAAGTCTTTCGAAAACCGAAACTCTTTCGGAGACCGCCTTAATGCAGTTGCACTCAGACAATACTGCCCGAACGAGTTTGGAACAAGGACATTGAGTTTCCTGTTCTCGGGGATTCCTTTTTCTGGTTTTATTCGTACCCCCAGCACGATAGTACAATTCGTCTGCTTGACCTATCGTGTGTTGGCACGACTTCTCAGGTATAACATTATCGTCATCAGATGATAATGTTTCCTTCTGAGGGTGAACTGCTTTCTTTGGGCTTTCAAAAGTTACATGCCTCGAAACATGCCTTTTTTGGCGTGAGTTCTCAGCGGGCTCTTGGACTTCAATGCGCAAATTGGTGCGCGTAGCTGCCCTGATTTCTTTGTCACGTTAGAGGTGACGGCGACCCCCAGCGTGTTGAGTCGTTGTGGGCTTCTTCATCGGGCCCAAACGCTCTTGAACTGGAGCCTTGACTCGCTCATCGGGAAGTGGACCGAGGCGCTCCAAACTGGCTTCTTCTTTCGGGATGATTCTGCGTGATCTCCCGGAGTAGTTGCTGGAATTATCGGCGATATGGGTTGTTTCGCCAGGGGTTGAACTTTGGTTGGAGACTGTTTCGGCCTCCACACTTGGCGGGTTGATGGCGGCTTCTTAGCCACTCTTTCTCCCTCCAATTTCTTGGCCTCCTGCATAAGAATTTTTGCTTGTACAAGTAACGCGCGGCGTTTGTGAATCCGCTCTTCAAGTGTCGAACGGTTCCGTTTGACCCGGATCCATTCGTTCGTTGGCGGCTTGGAGGAACCGCCATTCTTCAATTGTTGAGGCTGTTTGCCTCTCCTATTCTTCAGATCTGCATTGTAGCGGACTCCGTCTGTAGACTCCATCGCCTTAGCGAGTTGCCGCGCAAGGCGTTGACGTCGCCTCTGGCGGGCTCTCTTTGAGAGAGTCACAACGCCCTCAATAGTAGAGGCGTCGGCAAGAACAGGTTTGACCTCGTTGGAGGTCGGTGGAACTTCACCCGATGGCGTCAGCCGGGGTGAGAGCTTCGTTAGTGTTCTGAACTTCTTCAAACCAACGAGCTTTTCTCCTGGAGGAGAACTTCTTGGACTTGCGGGGGGAGGTAGATCCGGACGAGGATAAAAGGTACTCCTCGAACTTGGCCTGGTCGAATTCATACTCGACCTCCTCCTCGACCGGGATTGAGATCCGCGGCTGCGACGTGACGATCTCGGCAGCGAGATCG